TTGTTACTAGTAGCTTCTTGTTACTACTAGTAAGGCACTTGTTACTAGTAGCTTCTTGTTACTACTAGCGTTTTACGAGGCATGGCGGCCACTTCTTGCAAGTCACCAGGTGAAGGTCTTTGCACCACGGCCCTGCCACAAACGCACCATGATGGATATCCATCGCCTCGACAGGAACTTCTCCAGCTCTTTGGGGCTTTCGGAGGATCATCGACCTCGGCTCTTCAACGTGCAGGAAGATCCCTCCGAGCGCTGTGAGGTCTCAGACCAGGAGGAGCGAGTGCGTGGCTGGGCAGTCTTGACCGGAGAGCGATAGCTAGCAGTGGACCCTTTGGGGGGGGCCATCGATCTTAGGTTGGAGGCCATTGCTACGGACGTAGCAATGGGCATCGCTACTAGGAGCAAGAACGCTACTAGGGGCTCCTGGCCGTACTACTAGGAGCAAGTAGCTACCAGAAAACAAGAAGCTACTAGAGTAAATCTAGGTTGAAGGGAGACCAGGAAGAAACATCTTTTGACAGGCCGGGACAGGGAAATGCCAGCAGGGGCGGTTTTCGGGCAGGGGAAGGGAGGTTCACATGTTTGAAGGAGGGCCTAGTTCCACTGAAAGGCTACATTGGCTACATTCAATGTGGTTCACGTTCAGATCTGTCTTTGGCAGCCATGCCCATTCACGTGGACCCCCAAAGTAACTAAAGGCGGGTTCTCCTACTGTGCCCTGGCCGATCCAAGCCCGGTTTTTACATAAAACCGTTGGCCTCGGGGAACCCGCTGACGGTGCAAAGAAACATACTAGCAATGGCCTCCACCCTAAGAGCGATGGCCGTGATGGCCTCCAACCTAATAGCGATGGTCTCCACCCTAATAACGCCCCCGCCGATGGCCGAAGCTGTTCAGGTTCCATGCTCTCGAAGATCCATGGCTACCAGGCCACCGCGGTGCCACAACGCCAGGGTGATCCGCGCTGTCCGCCCTTCGCGCCCTTGCGGTCACCGCAAGGCGCCGTGCGACGACGCACGCGGTGCGTCGACGTCGCGCACGTCGACACGGGACGTCCACGTGTCGGTGTTTCTTCGGAGCTGGCGGCGCTTTTCGGCGGTTGCCGTCTTCTTGGTGGATGTGGAGTTGGCAGGATGGATATACGTAGGTGAATTGATGGTGGATGGATGGATTACATGAGACTTACAAAATTCATGGGCCGATGGAGATCTACCCTTTAATATATAGCTTCCCCAAAGGGGGGTTGTGGCCATGGATCGGTTCTTGAAACGGTTCTTTGCACCAAAAAATGTCCCTCAAACGGTCCGAAAACCTCTCACGCTTTCTAAAAGCAAGCTCGCACAGACTCCGTGGACGTTGCCGAGGTCCATACCTGGGGCCTTGGTGTGATGACGCTCAACAAGAAGTTGTCGTCTAGGCCAGGCCGAGGAGCGAAGTAGCGCGAGTAGCGCATTTTCGACACCGGAGTAGCGCTTGTAGCGAGGACGGGCGGTGACTGACTCGGTGGACACCGAGGGAGCTCGATAGAAGTCGCTCCGGAAGAGAACGAAGTACACCATGAAATCCTCTACACACAGGGGGCGCCATCCACTTCCATGTTACTAGTAAGGGGGTGAACCACAACCCTGCAATAGTCGTGCAGGGCGTAAGGTCCGGGTGGAGACCTGGACTGGAGGACCGGGCCAAGGCTTCAGCGAGCTTGACCAGTTGGATGTAGCCTCAAATCACCTACTGTTCGTGAAACAAAACACGGTCACATGTCGCATGGTATGTGTTTTTTACGGTCAAGTTGGATGTTGATGTCACATGGGATGTGAAGTTGGATGTTCAAGTCTCCGAATTCGGACGATAGACGTCCAAAGCTTGGTTGGACATGTCCGGCCCCTAGGCCGATCCGATGTCCTGGACTTCCGCGCCACCGCGCACAGGCCGCTTCCACCCGGCTCCGCTGGCCCGGCGGAAGCGGCAGATCCGACGACCTGCGGCCGAAGCGGAAAAGGGGCGCTGCGGAGCTCAGAGCCCCCGACCCGGCCAAAATGCGTCCACCACGCCCAGAAACGTGCTATTTCCCCTGCCGGGAAGTGGGGAACGATGACGGGAACGGGAACGTGCAACTGAATGGGAAAAGTCGTTTGGTTTTGTAGAAAGTCGTTTGGATGCGGGCTGCGTTTCCATGCGGGTTAGATGCAAGGTGGCAATGAAAACTGGAAGATAAGCTTGGGAACAGCAGTGCTGCTCAAGTTCTTTTTAGTGGGAACTGGGTAGGCCTAGTAGGAGGGTACCTCGGACTCGCGCGAGTGTAGCCATGTTTCCCCTCCAAAACTTATTTGTAGGGATGTAACCATAATCTTCATGAGACCAAGCTCATGGCAATAGATTCTTGATGCACAACAGCAAACAGAAAAAGGAATAAATACACATATGTCCGCAATCTTCCGTAAAGCATTTCCATGGTGTTGTAACACAAGCCTGCCACGCGCGCTTGTAGGATCACACTAATTGATTTGGCTGAAAGGTGCCCAAGGTCTTGGCAACGACTTTGACGATCTTCTCTTAAAGATATCTTTTTAGGAGCTCGGGGGCTTTTAGCCAATCTCCATCCCTACGGTCTTCACAGAAGCCCTTGTTGCTTCGGTTTGAGCTGACAGGTGCAGCTCTGATGCAGACTGTTGGAACAAAGCAAACTGCCAACGATGCGCTCACAGTGGTTATTGCAGCTTGAGCGCAAGGACATGCAAGAACTCCTAGGTACGATGTCATATGAGGAGAGGTGTTTCTTGATCTCTTTATATTCTCTTCGGTTCAAGCACCGGACAGGGTCTAGCAGGTGATATCAGTGATATCAGTCTGCATTAGTCCTTACAAAGGTGTACAAGGGTAGATAAGGCGCATATGGTATCCCACAATCTGGAGGTACAGATGGTCGTGCAAAATACAATGCCATCAATCTGGACGCAGTGGCATGCTACTGATTGTCACCCTAGCCTGAGGTACGGACGTTCCTTTGAGGGCACTGCACCTCGACGGAAATAATGACTGGAACTTGGATCTTGGGGAAAAGTTTCATGTCCAGTTTGCACTTGCCGATCGGTGATTGAACACGCGATGCCGATCAGCCTATGGAACTATCAGACTAGACCTCCGAGATGGTGCGAACTAAAAACCAGATGGCTGGACTAGGGGGCCAAAGCCTGAGAAAAGCTCAACCAATTACCGGACTGTGTTCAGCTATACAAAGAACACGTTCCGTTGATTGTCTTTGTGTCATGGTCCTGTTCACGTTTAGATGCATCCCTTTTTCCGTGGTCATAACGGTTCAGAAAGACCACGTTTGTTTGGCAGCATCCACTCACTCCATCATTTCAAGACCCACGTGTTTTTCAGCAGCACGACAGGACAGTAGGACAGGACATCGACGGCCGAGGTCAGAGTCGGAGAGCCACGGCGGCTTTGCTTTTGACAAGGATCCTCGGCGTACGTTCACTCGGCGTGTGTTCGACATGGACCTCGGCTGCGCGGCTTTTGAACGGGGAACTCTCGTGGCCGAGGCTTTTGTACCAGTCCTTGGCACTGGCACTGTTGAGGATTCCTGTTGGAAGCTCCTTTATCTCCGTGCATTTCACAGTGATTCAGTGACTGAATGCTGTAATACGTTCATATAGTCGTTCATATGTTTATGGGCTGAAGGGTCGTCGTTGGACATCAACGAAACCCGACTGAGCTTCAAATGCATCTAGTGGAACAAAGAGGAGATGTCGTTGAATTTTGGTGTTCGGTTTCGTTTGCTAGCATGCATTGTGCCACAAGAACGGACAAGCAAGACTCGCATTGTTTGCGCACTTCAGAATCTCATGGTCAGTTGCTTCGTTGCTTCTCTTTGGGTGCAAAAAAGGGTGTCACAACGTGCAAATCTGTGCTCGTTGAGGGGACCGGGAAGAAAGAGAGAGAGAGAGAGAGAAAAAAAAAAAACAAAGAAGAAGGAAAGAACGAAAGAGAAAGAGACTTGAGCACAAATGCTTTGTCGGCATTGGTCCCTGCCGCTGCTGTTGCTGTTGCCCACCGAGTCACCGAGTCTCCTTTGCCTCTTCATTTGAGCGAGGAGCACTCCCCGTCGCTGCTCGTGGTGAACGTGAGCATCATGACGGTCTACTGCGCATTGCTGCTGACGCTGCTGTGGCTCCGCCGGGCACCGCCGGACACCGAAGGCGAGAACGACAGACTGGAGAAGAAAACAGGAGGGGAAGGAATGAGTGTAGGCATGGTATGAGTTAAGGTGAGTTAAGGCAGGTATGTGGGCAAGTTTAATTGCTAAGTGAGAGTTGACCATACAGAGGTGCAGTGCGCGACTCGTTGTCCACTCCAGTCGCGTGGCTTCTGAAAAGGCTTGGCCAGTGCTCCTCTGATCTCAGCGGACCGAGAAGCCTAACTTCAGCCCACGCGGATCCGCGCGGAGAAGCGCGCGGCGGAGCGCAATGGAAGTTCGGCACTTCCTTGGATGCCATCCATGTGGGTGCGGTCTTTTGCAAGAGGAAGACCCTCAACATCCCTCAACTAGTGGGTTTAGTCTATTTCTCCTCTTCCAATGCGGTCGAAGCCTGGGAGGTCTTCCGATTAACTTGATACACATCCATGTGACACATGTGCCGTGAGAGAGGTGTCTCATTGGGTTTTCAATGGTTTTCAGTAGCTGCAGTAGCTGCTTTTTCTTTCTGCCCAACTCTGGACCAGAGGTTGAGGTTTTCAGGTGTTGTCGTTCAAGAGTTCGTCAGGTTGGGTTGCTTCCCATTTGCTCCAATGGTGCCCATTCTTAGCAGAGGTATCCAAATGCGAATCCGCATGGGCATGGATCCTTGTATCTTTTGACCTGGCCTGTGATTGCTGTATCGACATGTTTCTTGATGAGGGGCTGGAACTAAATCCATCAGAATCAATGTGTTCATTCCAGCTGTTACATGTCGGCCAACTTTTCCCCTCATCGAAAGACAGACGACTCGCGTGTACAGCGAGCGAGCGAGACGAGCGAGACAAGCGACACGCGGCCAAGCAGCTGGAACTCAGAAGTGTCCGCAGCATCCCGCAGCACTCAGGTGGAGCAAGGTTCAAACATCTAGATTCGCATGGGTTCGCTTCCGCATGCTGAAAAGCAATACACCATGATGATGTTCGTTATGTTGTTTACTCGTTCAATCTTATTCACCACCAACACTCTCACCTCTTAAGCATCTCCCCTCAATGTGGCCGCCCACCTACTCTTTGGCCACCAACTCCACCCACTCCCCTGCCGCGCTCGACCCCAGCCGGCACCCACCGAGGCTGGTGCGGAATGGCCTGGCGAGCCGTCCCCACTTCGGCGTCTTCTTGACCGACAGCGAGGACCTGGAGCCCAGCGAGGTGGCCTTCGGGGGCGCCGACCCGCAACGGATGCTGGAGCCCATCAGCTGGAGCCAGGCGCGGGTCTGGGGGTGGCGAACGCCGCGTGGGGCGCGAAGAAACACGGGGCTGGGGTGGTTGGAGAGGGTGGCGAAGGCAGGTTCTTTGGATCTTTGGATGTGGGTGATTGTGGGTGGTTTTGATTGCTTTGAGTGCATTGATTAGTTAGACGATTTTGTCGAGACTCCGCAATAAGATTATAAGTTGTCGATGATTTTGCAGGTTTGGCTGTGTCAGGGGAATCGTGTGTTGATGTTGGAGGGGGGCAGCTGGGGTCGCAGATGCAATGACAAAGGCCACACCGGACCCAACCATGGCCGACTGAGTCTACTGTCATTCATTGCATTCAACATGCATTCAACATATTCTCACCGAACGGCTAAGAACGAATTGCAAGGTGACGCTTATTGAATTGTCAATACTTGTCACCAGAATAAAGTGACGATACAGTTGTACAGATAGAACTCCACAGAGTAGCAGGACCAATGCAAAGTGGATGTGTTAATTAAATTGCCTTGTTACTAGTAGCGTTCTTGCTCCTAGTAGTACGGCCAGGAGCCCCTAGTAGCGAACATTGCTCCTAGTAGCGATGCCCTTTGCTCCTAGTAGCGAACATTGCTCCTAGTAGTTCCTAGTAAGGTTTGCTTTTGAACTGATGACGTTTGAGTCGCACGGCATGTTCTTCGGCTTCAACCGTCAAGCGTTGGCTCCGCAAGTTCGGACGTCTTCACAGGGCCTGTAGGGTACCAGCATTGTAGTGGAGTGTCGGATGGAACAGGATGCCAAGAAAACCGAAGGCCAGATTCTGAAGACAAGAGGAGGCAAGTAGAGATTATAGATTCAGATAGATAGACAGACAGACTGTATAGATGTGAGTGGTTCAGCAACCAATTCAGTTGGACTCAGGAGAAGCATGCGAATCTGTTCAACAGCCACATGGCCACATGCCTTACTTTTCTGGACTATCCACCAACCTGCCAACCCAGCTTGGAATGCTTGGGGGCTCCAGGTGATTCAGACTGTGACTCAGAGTGTTTTCTTCGACGGTTTTCCCTCTTCGATCCACCTTCACAACCTTCAAAACCCCTTCGCTTGAGCATCTCCCATGGGCGGCTTCGATGCCCAGATTTGCGCGGCCTGCGGTCAACGGGACGCGCCGGCGCGCTGCAGCCGGTGCAGCACCTGGTTTTGCGGCCCCGAGTGCCAGCGCAAGGCCTGGCCGACGCACAAGCTCCTCTGCACGAAAGCGGTCCCAGGACCGCCCGGCTCCGCGGAAGGGCCGAAGACGAGGAGCTCGGCCTTCGAATGGGGCGCCGACTCGGAGCGGCTGCTTTGGAGCGTGGAGAAGGTGGAGGAGTTGGATGTGGATCCGCAAAGAGTGTTGAGAGAGCTCAAGCCCGGAGCCACACAGTCAGACCTGTTGGATGCCTTAGGAACAGCCTTGGGCTCTTCCTCTCAGCAACCAGAGGTGAAGAAAGCTGCAGAACTCTTATGGCAGCGATGTGGTTGGGAGCCTCACGCGCGCGAGAGGCACGACTACAGTCTGCTGCATGCCATCCCCAACACCTCACCCACGACGCACGACTGGCAGGTCACACGAGCACCGCCGGCGCCAGAGGAGGCGAAACAACGGCCGCCTTCGGGTTCCCGCCACGAGCCTTTGTTGCTGGGAGGGTCATGTCCCATCATCGATGCCAAAGGCGGATTCTCCTCGGAGGTGAAGAGCCAACTGGCGGAGTTCTTGAATCCCAGAGCACCGCGCCCATGCATCATCAAGAATCTTCCGATTTTTGACAGAGCAGTGGAGAAGTGGAGTGTTGACTATCTTAAGGAGCATATGGGTGACCAGTTGTACCACACCTTTGCATCCACGCAGGAGGACCGGCGTTTCGCCTATTCCTTTGACTGCCGAAATGAGGGTGGCTACAGGCCTGCGCGCATCGCCGAGGCCTGCAAGATGACCTTCAAGGACTTCGTGTGACTTGGCCATGATGAGGGTGGTCCAGTGTGGTCCAGTCGTTCGCTCGTGGCCGACGCAGGTTCCACGAGAAAAAGAGGGCTTGATATCTTATAAAGATTCCTTGAGTACGTCGAGGTGCCCCAAAAAGATGTCACATTTTTGTTTCCCCCCACACCGCTAACCACTTTCACTCACAATTCTTCCAAGCACCTTACTTGAACTAGTTCATGCACCTGCAGTGAGCTGTGGATCTTCAGGAAACAGCAACAATGTGAAGATGGCAAGGCCTACTACTTACAGACTCCCGTGCTCCGCTACGAGGATGGCATTGTGACCTCTGCCAAGTTCGACGAACAGCTGGAGGCCGACCTTCACACCATGAACCGGCGCCTGGTGAACGAGCCCTGGCAGAGATGATCCGTGTGTAGAGGTTTGGGTTTTGTTTTTTTTTCACCTGAATCTCTTCAGTTTCAGACATTGAAGTTCAGGTCTGAAAGAGTCTGACATATGTCACCTGATGCTCCAAATCTGTCAGGAGATGGCCCAGATGGGCTCCTTTGGGGAGCTCTCACGGAATCAACTCTTTGTGAGCTTCAAGGACCCCTCGATCTTCGATGTGAATTGACCATCCACTGACCAAAACTGACAAACAAATACATTGACCCATATCAGTTGGGGTTTAGCTTAGAACTCTTCGAGAAGGCGATGGAGAGAGAGATCAGTTGGGGTGGTGGGGAAAAAACCATGTCAAATGAGGGTGAATGTATGCGACCGTCCCCATGGATGGTCGACGGGCGTTTCGTCGAACTTGTGCCGTTTCGGTCATATCATGTTATATCATGTTTCACGGCGAGTTCTGTTTTTCTTGCTGAACCTCCAGATCCCTGGCCCGGTCGAAGCAGCACCATGACTCGGCTCGAAGATGGGCGCTCCGACGCTCCGTCGCCCGGTCACCGGCCATTCAGTCAACCCGTGGAGGACTTCTTGACGGCGTCGCATTACGACCAGCAACACAACTTATATTTGCAGCTGCGCGGATCCAAGAAGTTCCTTCTCTTCGACGTGACCTGTGCACCGGTGCCAGCGGGAGAAACACACGGCGAGAAACACGCGTTCTCCGTGTCCGAGAGCGTTGCTTTTTTTCCCCAAAGGTCTGAGGTGGTTGCTGGTGTATGAGGTATAGCAGTAGGAACTCAACAAAAAAAAAGTGCTTTCTTTTTCTCGCAATCTTCTCAAAAACCGAGATCCATTCCACTTTCTTGGGCTGGCCTGCTTGACCTTCATGCCCCTCCCAGGCCTTGTACACCTATCCCGTGCACCACTCCTTAGATCGCAAGGCGCGTGTCGACTTGGAATCGTTGGATCCGAACCAGCTGGAGCAATGGCCTCGTGCGAAGGCCCTGGCAGGAAGGGGCATTGAAGCCGTGCTGAGTCAGGGAGATGTACTTTTTTTGCCCATGAGCTGGTTTCATCACGTGCACAGCCTGGGTGAGGAGAATGTCTCCTTGAACTATTGGTTTTACGATTCAGGCAAGCTCTTTGAGCCTTCAAAGGTTCAGTGGCCACTGAGCATGATCTCACTGTTGGAGCTGTCCAGACATGTGGAATATTTGGTGGCTGAGCAGCTGCTGTGCTGCGATTCGGTTCTTGAGTTTGTTGGTATTCCATTGGCATTGGCATAAGATGTTGAGATGAGAAGATTAGCTGAGATGCCATTGCCGGGCCGAAGAGAGACCTTCACTAATCAGATAAACTTTCAGATGCATGCTCAAAAAGGAACATGTCCAGCATAAAGAGGCAAGCTTTCCAATGTACTGCTGGCACCTCATCCAAGAAGCATCTAACAAGCAACCAAAGTATCTGGGGAATTCTTCTCCAACCATGCCTTCCTATGGGCCGACGCCTCGTTTTGGAACCTGGATTCGTCTCGTTTTGGAACCTAGATTCGTCTCGTTTTGGAACCTAGGAAGTGGTTTCTGGGAAGTGGTTTCTGGGAAGTGGTTTCTGGGAAGTGGTTTCTGGGGAGTGGTTTCTGGGGGCTGGTCTGGTTTCTGGGAAGTGGTTTCTGGGAAGTGGTTTCTGGG